AGTGGTTGAAAACTGTGGTGTTTCATTTTCCAGATTTTTCTCTTTCTGTGGTGGTTTGATTGTGTCTGGGTGTGGTGTGGGTAGGCTAGCAGACTATGATAAAGTGGTAACAGAAATCCCAATGTGGAGCAGAATCTCTTAAACATTGTCCAATTTCTTGTAGCAATACTTATCAGCCTCCCAAATTATGTGAAGGAAACCCAGAGTAAAGACTGTGGGTTGTTATCAGAGATGCCCATCTGCTGAGCAATGCAGGAAACTCGTCTTCTCACTCTTCTGAAGCAATTACAGTATGTTTAAATACTTTCGTTTTCAAATGATACAGAAACCAGATTGAATCAGATAGGCTGTTTGCTTCCACACTGATTAAGATTTCATCCATATTCTTTAAAATAATAATAATTTAAAAAAAGAGCCTCGGTTAGCATTAATGCAAGCCTGTCAAACTGATATATGCAAATAAAATGTTCATGAATAGGAAAATTTTTGTCTCATGCCACACCCTGAATGTTAGTTGAAAGAGTTAAAAGGAGTTTATCTTAGTTTCCATGGTGTCAGACTGTATACTCATTACATCTCCAGAGCAGCTTTGTGCTTTCTTATGCTGAAGGAACAGAGCAAAGGCTGCTCTGTGTATTGACACTTTCTTCTTCTGTTCAGGAAGGAGTGGGTGAATATAGCAATGAAGCCCACAATTTTCAGTACTTGTCATGGTACATAGATCAAATGTAATCCACTCTGCCAACATAACTCTATATTCAATAGCTGGGAAAGGAGGAGATTTATTTAACTTGAATAATGAAAGCAGTAAATCACTCATGCTACCTTGTAGCAGTCTTCTTCAATGAACTGAACTTCTGCAATAAATATTTGCTCTTTCTTTCCACATAAGATGACTTTAATGCTCTTTTTCTTCCTGCAATGCCAGGAAAAGTATCAGCTTTGAAGAGGCTGTTGAAATTAATTGGACATAGTCATAATTGCTATCTGAAAATAGGTGTATTACAACTTCAGAACAAGGAGCGTTCTCCCTGTTCTGAAATTTTACTCTATGGTGAATTTGTTAAGGGATGGAAATCCTAGTCTTGCCTAATTAAAGGCAACCCCTTGCCTATGTTTATCGCTTCTTGCGCTGCTTTTGCATATTTATTTTTCTGTAAGTTTTATCTTCCAAAATTGAATTTACTATGAGGTTTTGGTCTGAAGGTGTATTTGCCTCCTACAAGCTTTTCTGTATAATGCTGCTCGCTTCCCTCCCTTCTGAAATGCTGTGCTGTTTGTTGTCTGCTTTTTCCTCAGGCTCCCCAGGTGAGTATTGTTATCTGGGCGCACATATGGGAACATTAATTTTGGTTTGATCTTCAGAGTGGGTGTTTTCAGTGGCCAGAGGTAGTTTGGGGGAAGAAAAAGGAAGGGTATTGCCTGGACCAGGTGGGACCTTTGCAGCACCTTTTAAAGCACGTGCAGGGTCGCAGCAGCAGCAGCATCCCGCTTTCGCTTGAGATTCTGGAAGGATATTTCATGCGTTGTTTTTGCATGTCCGTGTTCACACAGGAGCTGCTGGTCCTTTGGAGAGCTATAAAAATGTGGCTATCAAAATCCATCATCTTCCTAATGTTATTATATTAAAAAAAAAAAAGGGCATTTTCAGCAGAGCTTAAGCCCTGTCAGTTAATCGCTCCTGTGCAGGGGTGAGTGAGTAGCGATGTTATGCTTAGGCTGGTGCAATAATCCTGTTATGTAGTAGTATCTGCAGTAATACCATTTACAAAGTGATTCTCTCTTTAAAACACATCTTTTCACCCTTGCAAAGGGTGACGAGGGAGAAGGCTGGCTTGGTTTGTTCACTGACAAGGGGGCCGGAGGGGGAAGCGGCTCCTCCTTCCCTGCCCCCGGCGGCAGAACACCCGCACCGCGGCGGGAGGCTGCGG